TTACATTAATAAAAAACCAGTTGACAGTCAAAAACAAATAGGAGACATTTGGACATTGACCAAATTTGGACATTGAAAAATACATGTAAAAGACAATATCAAAAAGTAGTACATAACTTTGATGATGGGGGGTTTGGTGTTTAAAATAAAGTTAAAGTAGAAGAAGGAGATTACGTACACTTTTGCGTAATGTGATGGGGAAATTAGGTATGACCAATTTTACTATTGTCTTATGTCTGTTTTTCATAATGTCTTCTCTAATGTTTTTCTTTTTTTATGAAAACAATTTTAAACTTAATTAAACTAAACTAAATCTCTGACTGTTCTAAATAAAAGTTAAAAAACTTTTGTCTCTTTGAAGTAAGCTTTGAAATTTAACTGTTACATTCCTGCCTGGTGTAGCAGCAAGTGTAACATACATTTCTTTTCATTACTGTTTGCATGTAAATGGTTGACTGTGTAGTTAGCTTTCCCCAGTGATAATCACTCTTAAGTCTAGAACACACGATCAGAAAATCATACAAAAAATACCGCTTTGGAATCGATTGTACGATAATCTGATTGTTAGTACACAGCTTTCATCTGGAATAATTATTAGAAGGGACAAGCACGACATTTTTCTCATATGATACCAGATCATATGATTTTCATTTAATCAGTACAGTTTTCGTCTGAAAATACAATAGAAATACAATACAATACATTAAATTGCTGAATTAGCACACTCTAATTCTAAATTACTAAAATGTGCCCAAGAAAAAACACTCACTTTCACCCTTGAAAGCTAAACAAAAATTATAAAGTCTTTTTCTTTCCCAAATTATATCAATAAATTGAAAAAAGAATCATAAAAATATAAATAAATGTCCTCCTTATCTAAATGACCACAGGTGCAATTCCAAAAGACTATAGTCCTCTTTTTTCTTCCAAGAGAATACCTCTCTTATTTTCAATCTTCAAGTAATGTCCAAATATTCATATACCTCAAAAAAACAAAAAAGCTCAACATAGTGTGTTATCCTTGTGCTATTCACAGTGAGTCACATCAAACACTAAACTTTTGCATGTGAAAAAAAAAAAAAAAGGAAGAGCATATATATAAATCCTAAATTGTGAAAACACTCTATCTGTGAACACTGCAATAAACAATAGTGATCCACTCAAGGGACAAGTGCTATCGTACTCTGTGAAAAACTTAGTGTTATTATTTTAACCCACTGCACAAAACCAAACAACACTCCAACTCGTGTAGTAGTGGATAATTACCCCAATAATGTTTCAAACAGGCTTGTCAAAACACATAAGAGATGGCATCAAACTTCCGAGTACAGATCAATCCTGGGATTCCTCCTCCACTATCCACATAAGTAACTTGGCAATTAGAGAAGGTACCATCTACAGATCACATCACATAAGGGAACCACCGCATGTTCCCACTTCCAAAATGGCCGCGGCTGCACTTCTGGAAAACGTCATTGCGTCAGATGTCACGTGTACTGACGCGTTTCGTCACTTCCTGGACTTTTTTCAAACGTCACTACACATCTATTAGAACTTTACAGGAAGGGGGGAAGACAACAGGCGGGCACAAGAACCCCCCACTACAACACATATCCCATACCGTATAAGTCCAGGAAGTGACGAAACGCGTCAGCACACGTGACGTCTGACGCACTGACGTTTTCCGGAAGTGCCATTTTGGAAGTGGGAACATGCAGTGGTTCCCTTATGTGATGTGATCTGTAGATGTGTCTCTATGATGGGGAGCTGATATCTGCAATTTTAAATGTAAGTTGCCAAATAAATTGTTTATACTCTATGGTACCTTCTCTAATTGCCAATTTACTTATGAGGAGAGTGGAGGAGGAATCCCAGGATTGATCTGGACTCGGAAGTTTGATGCCATCTCTTATGTGTTTTGACAAGCCTGTTTGAAACATTATTGGGGTAATTATCCACTACTGCACGAGTTGGAGTGTTGTTTGGTTTTGTGCAGTGGGTTAAAATAATAACACTAAGTTTTTCACAGAGTACGATAGCACTTGTCACTTGAGTGGATCACTATTGTTTATTGCAGTGTTCACAGATAGAGTGTTTTCACAATTTAGGATTTTATATATACTCCTTCTTTTTTTTTTTTTTTCACATGCACAAGTTTAGTGTTTGATGTGACTCACTGTGAATGGCACAATTTTCCTTTTTGTATAAGGATAACACACTATGTTGAGCTTTTTTGTTTTTTTGAGGTATATGAATATTTGGACATTACTTGAAGATTGAAAATAAGAGAGATATTCTCTTGGAAGGAAAAAAAGGACTATAGTCTTTTGGAATTGCACCTGTGGTCATTTAGATAAGGAGGACATTTATTTATATTTCTATGATTCTTTTTTCAATTTATTGATATAATTTGGGAAAGAAAAAGACTTTATAATACAATACATTACATCACTTTCAAATTTTTTATTCTGTCATCTGTCATACAAGAATTTTCGTAACTTTAGTAACCTTTTCACTTTCAACATGAGACTAAGCATGCAAAAAAAAAAATGGACGATTGTTCGTCTGATATTCTCATCATGTGTACAGGGCCTTAGTTTGCCAGTGCTTAGATTATTTTCCAAGAGCAGGTAAATATCTGTACAGGGGAGGCTGAGTGGGCCACAATCTGGTCTCCAACTTTGGGATCTGGGAAATGTAACGATCACGCTACCCTACCACATTTTACTGAAAGACATGTTTTGTTGTAGGTTGGGCCCCAACTCAGAAAATTCACCATCACTTCCTCTTCTGATAGGAAGTGAAGGGAAATATCTCTATTAGAGAAACCGACCACAATAAAAACTTGTCCGGGTTTCGTCAACTTTCCCACTGAAAACTAAACAAAAAAATTCTCACTGGAGTTGTTTTTAAACAATAGTGAACACAGATCTTGCTGACTGTTAATTAGGGATAACAAATCACAGTCATACAATTCTTCAGCTGCTCTTAGAACAAATTACTGAAAATATACTGTATATTCTCAAGAATATGATATAAAATGATTGCAGTGCTTCACAAAAGTAATATGTGTTTTTAAAACAAGATCTGACTCATCCATTATGACATGTTTTTCCATGGAAAAGAGACAATTCATTTCTGTTGCTTGAGCGTTTACATGCAGTATGCACAGTTCCATATGGCTGAAGCTGCAAACATGTGGGCAATGTGCAACAGATTGCTGTTCCAGATCTCAGCAAGAGACCATCCCACTAAATATACACAAAAGGTTACATCATTCCCCTGTTCACTTTAATTAGTGGGTTCTTCTTTGCACTTTAGAGCTTGCAATGCTTTGTAAGCACTTTAAGCAACTAAGTTACCGACAGAAGCCTATTTTTCATGATCTCTTACTGGAAAATTATTCATACAAACAATTCTTGGTCTCTTCTAGTAAGTCACCCCATGTGCCCCTCAATATATATGTATGTCCCTTAGAATTAGCTGCCCTATGACTTCAAAGCGTTACCTCTTCTCAAAATTCCTTTGACTCAGAAACCTGACCATGCCTGAATAAAAGCATCCAAAATTCACTTCTTATGTACACTAAGCACATCCATGTGTGCCTGACAATTTATGGGCTTTTTCTGTAAATCTATGGGCTCTTTGCTTTAAAGAAATTCTTGCTTTGATGCAACATGATGCCAACATGCCAACATTTACACTATATACGAAATGAGATTGTAGTTTGACTGAATATAACAATTGGTGACAATATTATTCTATGCAAGTTCTCCTTCAGACATATCTATTTTATGAATTAATAATTTGGTAAAGCTTTGAGGGGTATTGGCTATTGTTGACTCATATTGCTAATCTTAATTTCTTGGCCATCCTGGCTTCCTTGGTTTAATACTTTCAGCCAGAACAGTATGCAAATAAAGACTTTTGACGTTAATCTAGCATTGCTAATGTACCTTTTTGACTAAGCCCTGGTCGGCAGGGTGAAATGCGTGGTTTGGTGAAGACATGAAGGCTGAGGCTGTTCCCTAACATTTATTCACCTGGGCTGGTCAGGAGTAGTGGCAATCCTTTCTTCTCTACATTTACTAGCCCTCTGGATTGGTATCAGGACAAGGCTGCATCCCATTCTCAGGGACACAGGGATATGCTTTCACCCCTACCTTGAGTGGTGTCAATAGCAATATAAAAAAACTGATATTGTTTGAGTTCCAAGTCCATGAAAGTACTAAAGCCAGAGGGTTAGCATAACAGCCAAGGAACTAGAGTTTTAGGAGGAGGCCAGCAATGGTATCTATGCAATATCCCTTAGAATAGGTTTACTCTCATACAAGGGTAGAGGTTAGTAACCATCACCAGTAGTGTTGAGAGAAACAAATCTAAAAAAAATAACAGAATTGCATTTTTATATGGCTGAACATGTTGAAGAAGATTTGTTCAGTATACGAAAAAAAAAAAAACCTTTGAGACAGCCCTGGTCTCTGTGATAAAGATTAAGTTCACCTTTGGGAACATGTTACATCATGTTCCACCCATTTTTAGGGTTGAACATGTAGCATGTTCCCACTACGGCAGCCACTGCCCTATCCTCCCCACCGTGTTAGCAATACAAGGGGAAGTTCCTCTTTCTAGCTGTCAGTTTTTTAAATCAGAGAGACTCTGCTCACATGGCCACGTCATTAATTCACAGTGTTCTGTGAATTAATGAACTACAAGTACTGACATCCATTGCTTCAATGACCTACCTCGGCGCTGTGGTAGTTCATTCAGTCGCTCAGTAGTTCATTCAGTATGAGCATACAGATTAAGCTGACTGTCTGCTGGAGACCTTCATGGCACCAGTGATCTGCTGATCGCTGGTGCAATGCTTTACAGCAGGGGTATTGAATTACAATTCAAGGAGGTCCGGTAACTAAAATTTTCTTCCGTCCGAGGTCCAAATCTAAAGTATGTATTCACTGTATATCTATCAAAAATGAGAAAAGTACAATTTGTAACAATTTATATCAGGTGTCCCCATCAGAGTGCCCCCTTAAGTAATGTGCTCCCATCAGAATGCCACCTTACATCAGGTATTCCTGTCAGAGTGCCCCCTAACATCAAGTGTCCCCATTAGAGTGCCCCCTTACATACATCAGGTGCCCCTATCAGAGTGCCCCCTTACATCTGGTGTCTCCTATCACTATGACCCCTTACATAATTTGTCCCCATCAGAGTGCCCCATTATGTAAGGTTCCCCCATTGCACTGACCCCTTACATAGGGTGTTCCCATCAGAGTGCCCCCTTACATTAGATGTTGCCATCAGAGTGCTCCTTTATTTTAGGTGTACCTATCAGAGTGCCCCTTTACATCAGTTGTTCCCATCAGAGTGCCCCTTTACTTAAGGTGTCTCCATCACAGTGCCACCTCACATCAGGTATTCCCATCAGAGTGCCCTTTACATCAGATGTCCCCATCAGAGTGCCCACTTACATCAGGTTTTAGCAGCAGAAGGCCCCATACATCTGGTGTCTCCCACCAGTGTGCCCCCTTACATCACTTCTTCCCATCAGAGTGGGGTTTCCCCATCAGAGTATTATTATTACTTCGAGTTTATATAGCGCCAAAGGGTTTGCTCAGCGCTGTACAATAGAGGGGGGGACAATACATGGCACAGTACAACAACAACAAACAACGTACGAGGAGTAAGAGGGCCCTACTCTTTCGAGCTTACAATCTGAGAGGGAGGGGGTAAAGGTACAGTAGGAAGTGGCTGAGGGCAATGAGGGGTGGGAGGAAAGAGGGAGAATGGCCGTTAGGTGAGGGTGGGGTAGGCTTCCCTGAAGAGATGGGTTTTGAGGGAGCGCCTGAATGTGAAGAGGGAAGGCGACAGTCTGATGGATTGGGGCAGTGAGTTCCAGAGGATGGGGGAGGACCTGGAGAAGTCCTGCAGTCGTGCATGGGAGGAGGAGACCAGGGAGCAGGATAGAAGGAGGTCCTGTGAGGAGCGAAGGGTACGGGTAGGGCGGTACTTGGGGATCAGGTTGGTGATGTAGTCAGGGGCAGTGTTGTGATTGGCTTTGTAGGTCAGGGTTAGGAGTTTAAATTTGATGCGTTGGGCAATCGGGAGCCAGTGGAGGGAGAGGCAGAGGGGGGTGGCAGAGGTGGAGCGGGTGGTGAGGTGGATGAGTCTAGCCGCTGAGTTCAGGATGGTCTGGAGCGGGGAGAGCCTGCACTTGGGTAGGCCGGTGAGAAGAGAATTACAGTAGTCAAGGCGTGAGATGATGAGGGAGTGTACTAGAAGTTCGGTGGTGTCAAGGGTGAGGAAGGTACATATCTTGGCAATGTTGCGAAGATGGAGCCTGCATGTGTTTGTGAGTGATTTGACATGAGGTTGGAGTACCCGCTTACACCAGGTGTCCCCATCACATCAATTTTCCTTATCTGAGTGTCCCATTTACATCAGTTGTCCCCATCAGAGTGCCCCTTTACATCATATTTTCCCATCAGCGTGCTCCTTTACATCGTGTGTGCCCACCAGAGTGTCCCTTTCCATAGCATGTGTCCATCAGCGTGCCCCTTTCCACAATATGCACCCATCAGAGTACCCCCTTAACATAAAATGTCCATCAGTGTGCCCCTTATTTTATGCTAAGGGGCATGCTGATGGGCACATTTTATGTTAAGGGGCACGCGTATGGGCTCTTTATGTTAAGGGGCACACTGATGGGCACATTGTATGTTAAGGGGCACGCTAATAAACACATTTTATCTTAAGGGGCACACTGACAGGCACATTTTGTTGTGCCCATAAGCATGCCCCTTAACATAAAGTGTCCATAAGTGTGCCCCTTAACATAAAGTGCCCATCAGTATGCCCCTTAACATAAAGCGTCTATCAGCTAGCCCCTTAACATAAAATGTGCCCATCAGCGTCACCCTTAGCATAAAATAAGGGGCACACTGATGGACATTTTATGTTAAGGGGGTACTTTGATGGGTGCATATTGTGGAAAGGGGGGAGAGCTGAGCAAAGTGCCTTGCAGAAGGGGGTGGGGCACGACACACAAGTGAGTATAGCTTTCTGGCAGGCGGATACAAGGGATTAGGAGGCGAGAGCGATAGAGAGCAGGAGGGGGCGGGGCACACACATGATCCTATTGATTGCTGGGATGCCCATGGTTACAGCAACCTATGACTGCTGAGTGGCGGGGACCTGGCATTTTAGACTGGCGGGCTGATGGTCCAAAAAGGAACATTGTTCAGACTGCGGTCTGCCATTTAATGACTGCTGCTTTACAGGCCCCCCCCCCCAAAAAAAAATAAATGCACATTTTGTTCCCTGCAAAAAGTGTGCATTTATTACTATTATTTTTAAAGTTAACTTATCCTTTAAGCTGGCGATAAATGGATTGAAATTTGACTGTTCCAGACAAATTTTGTTCCATACATGGGCAGTCTGGTTCTACAGAAGTCGATTTATTGACTTGTGTACAACCTGCTTGTTGTGTTTTTGCCGAATGATCAGTGCCGCCGACTATAGCCAGCAATACTGATCATTGGATTCTGACAGCAGGGATGTTTCTCATTAGAATGTGGTGGATAGGGGAATTGTTTTATCTTTTTTCATTCAACCTCTTGATTGAACAAAAAACAAAACAAAAATTTTATTAAGTATGGCAGGGATGCCCTACCTTTTGAAGAGTGAAGGCCACTTAAGTGATCTGGTAACCAGTCATGGGCCACAATAAAATGAAATAGTTCAGAATTTTTTAAAAACATTTAATAGCATAATAAACATTTTCCTCCTGCAGCCACTGAATGCCGGTGAGAGGGAGAAGAGGAGAAGCCGGCCTTCATATAATAGAATATAACACTTCATATAACACACGGGAAAGCCGCAGGTGCACTGTGCTGCACCCGAGGTTCAGTGTGAAAACAGCAGTAATATGCCCATTGCAAAAGCACAGTGTATGCGTTGTTAAAAAAATTCACCTTCTTTTCCTCTTCTACTTGTAGCTTCTGTAGGCATCACTTTCTCTCTCTAGGCTGTTAGAAAGGTCCCAGGTGAAGTACACCTGGTATCCTTGGGCCTGGGACAGAAGCTGCTGCTGCAGAGGAAGCATCCACTTCTGCAGCTCCTGCTCTTTCCACGGCTGCCTGCTTCCTCCACTGCCGGTGCTGACTCAATTCACTCTGATGCTCTGAGATGGCGGGTCATCAATCCCAGATCGCCATCAATAGGTTGCTGACCCCGGGCATGTACTTCCCTGGTTTGAGGGCCAAATTAGAAGGCTCCGAGGCCCACATGTGGCCCACGGGTCACAGCTTGAGCACCCCTGATGTATGGCCAGCTTTAGTCATGAACACACCTCAATAATCTCAAAAGCATTGCAACTATTGTATAATCGACTTTGTTAGCCAATAAAAGATATCATCAACAAAGGCTAACATGTAAGAACTCCCTACTATTTTAGTCTACAATCATACCATTCATGAGTCATGATTGCCTAAATTGTGTGATTTTCCACAGATCAGAAGGCAAATATTCAGGAAAATTAAAAACTAGTGACTTATTGACTATCATTATCACAAGCATTGTCCTAAAACATATATTGGACAAAAACATTCATTAAATTAAGATTTTAATATTTCATTTGCAATAGAAAAGCCTTGGATGAATGATGCCTGCTGCTACTATCCTTCAGTCCCAAAGTGAGCAACATATCCTGTCTGAGACAGAAATATTGCCAGTATGGTTATTCTGTACCACAGATGCATTTTGATCCACAGAACTGGCCAATAATTGTAGACGTTATAGTAGAACTACAAAACTTTTGTTTAGTTTTTGAATATAATAGAGAGAATCAAAGACTCTGTCAGATGTTCATATTAGTGTACCCAGGGTTTTGTTCAGCGGGAACATACTAAATGTTTGTAATTGCAAGGGGTGTAGGGGTGTACTGCAGGGTCTATTGACGCTGACTGCTGGGGGATCTAACGTCACCGGAGGGGATCTATTTTTGCAGTAAGGGGGGGTCTATTGATGCTGGGGAGGTTTACTGTTGATAGCAGGGGATCTACTGTTGCTGGGGGGTGTTTTATGCTGCTGTGGGGTCAACTGTTGCTGGGAAGGATCTACTGTTGAGGGAGGGGTCTATTGTTACTAGCTGCTGGAGGGTCTATTGATGCTGGCTGTGGGAAGATCTGTTGATACTGCTGGAGGACTATTGCTGCTGGGGGAGTATTTTGTTGCAGGTGGTTCATTGTTGCCTGGGGGGGGGGTCTATTGTTGCTGGCTTCAGGGGATCATTTTACTGCTTTTCTTGTTATTATTTTAAATTCCAAACAAATCGATACTTGGTTCTGTATTCTCTAAAACGGTGGTACTGGGAGGTAGGTAAGGGATGGAACGCAGGGGTGGTGCGGAACAGAGACAGGGGGTGACTCAGAAGGGAGAGTTCCTGCACCTATTCTCTGAGAAAAAAAAGCCCTGGGTGTATCCATGTTGTATCTAAAACAGAGTCATTGGGACATATATCACTATGTATTTACAGTCAGGTCCATAAATATTGGGACATCGATACAATTCTAACATTTTTGGCTCTATACACCACCATAATGGATTTGAAATGAAACAAACAAGATGTGCTTTAACTGCAGACTGTCAGCTTTAATTTGAGGGTATTTACATCCAAATCAGGTGAACAGTGTAGGAATTACAACAGTTTTCATATGTGCCTCCCACTTGTTAAGGGACCAAAAGTAATGGGACAGAATAATAATCATAAATCAAACTTTCACTTTTTAATACTTGGTTGCAAATCCTTTGCAGTCAATTACAGCCTGAAGTCTGGAACGCATAGACATCACCAGACGCTGGGTTTCATCCCTGGTGATGCTCTGCCAGGCCTCTACTGCAACTGTCTTCAGTTCCTGCTTATTCTTGGGGCATTTTCCCTTCAGTTTTGTCTTCAGCAAGTGAAATGCATGCTCAATCGGATTCAGGTCAGGTGATTGACTAGGCCATTGCATAACATTCCACTTCTTTCCCTTGAAAAACTCTTTGGTTGCTTTTGCAGTATGCTTTGGGTCATTGTCCATCTGCACTGTGAAGCGGCGTCCAATGAGTTCTGAAGCATTTGGCTGAATATGAGCAGATAATATTGCCCAAAACACTTCAGAATTCATCCTGCTGCTTTTGTCAGCAGTCACATCATCAATAAATACAAGAGAACCAGTTCCATTGGCAGCCATACATGCCCACGCCATTACACTACCACCACCATGCTTCACTGATGAGGTGGTATGCTTAGGATCATGAGCAGTTCCTTTCCTTCTCCATACTCTTCTCTTCCCATCACTCTGGTACAAGTTGATCTTGGTCTCATCTGTCCATAGGATG